GGAGAACCCCTGAACAGCTCTGAAAGGCAAGCAAAATTTTAAAATGATAACTGTGGCATAAATAATTCATAACTGGAAGTCACTTCACATATTGGTCATTTTGATAGATAGTAAATTGCCTTTCTGATTTGTGGTTTCAGGGGTGGGGTTACAATAAAAATAACTTGGTGATTTATAAAACATCTCCTTAAGTCAACAGATCGTTAGTAGGTTTGTCTGAGTTTACAGCCAACAGCCTCACCACCCTGGTTACCATAGAAATGGGATGCCTTGCTCTGTTGTCATAGCTACCACTTTCTAGAACACAATTGGTGGGTCTCTCATGGTTTGTGATTTGGTTCTGGAAAGGAAAAAATAAAAAGAGAAACTACCAGCCTGGGCTTATGCCGCATTGTCAGGCGACCTCCTGTGCGTGGCCTTGATGTTTTACAGGGCAGCCAGAGAGTGGGCCAGGTGGGGTGCCTGTGGCCCCAGTGCTGCCTGGCACAGCCTCCTTTGTGTCTCTAACCTCAGTAGCATCCCAGGAGGGGCTGACTGCACCGCCAGCTGGGTCCTGGGTGTACTGGGGCCAGCTGCCGCAGGGGGTGGCTGGAGAAAGAGGCAAGATCTGGCAGGTGACAGGAAATCCAGGCGGGGCGAGGGCAACAGGGAAGCCTGAGGAGGCAGAGGTGGAGCAGGCTGAAGCTTCCCATGTTGTGTGGGGTGAGGCTCTAATCAGTTGCTGCCTGGGGGTAACAGGGTGTATCTGTGCAGTTCAGCCATGTGGTACCCCTGCCATAGCACCATGGGGCCCTGAAGGTATTCACGCGTGTCGTGTGCATGTGTGTGCATGCACCCCTAAGCACAGCAGCTGGGCGTCTCTGGTTGGTATGCCGGGGAGGTCTCAGCAAGCCCTACGAAGGCTCCAGTATTCTCTGTGTATGAGTGAGGCCCCGGAGTGTAGGTGTGCTCGCGTGCTCAGTGCCTGCGCCTAGGAGAGAGGAAGGCTGTATGTGGGCTCTGTCTGGGCCCCTGTGTCTGTGGTCCCTGTGTGACGGAATGGGGGGCAGGAAGCTCCTGAGGGATTCTACCTCTTCCCCTTGCCCTGGGGGTGACAGGTCCAGGCAGGGCTTCTCTCCCTGCAGGGGTCAGCTCACCCATGAATCTCCCATCCCCTGCTCTTGGCCCCATATTCTCACTAGCTCCCTGAACAAGTTGAGATCTTCTTTCCCAGGGGGCAACCAAGTGGGAACGCAGACTGGATAGTCTGAGGCTGCTTTCATCACTAATTCCAGACCCAGGTTGCTTCTGCATCAAGGCCTGGGCACTAAGGCCTAAGTGTTATTCCTGCCTGTGGAGGTAGTTGGTGCCCCTACCCTCTGCCATGGTGTTGGTATAAACTGCTCCTAGGGAGCCTGGACTGTGGGTGCCAGCTGAGATGGAAATCTGCAGCCAGCTGCCCAGTAGGGAGGGACAAGAATTTTGTGTCAAGAGCTTTGATGGCTGGGTGGTGACGGCTCAGGTACTATAGCTCAGCAAACTCGGGTGCACATCTCAGTTTCACCCTTAGCTTTTAAACTGTAACTTAGTCCCGGACGCCTGAGTTTCTGTATGTCTTGACATAGTGGGGACACGGCCACCTGTTCTTCCAAGTCGGTGCGTGGATTAAAGGCACAGAGTAGGTCCTCAAGCTTTAGTTGCTTTTCCCTCTCCTTCCCATGCTCAGCCAGGCCTAGACATGAACAGAGGACACAGGGGCTTGGCTGCTCCTCCTTTGGCTGTACCCTTGATTGCTCTTCTTCTGGGCCCTGGGCTTAGGGCAACTTTGGGATCTGAGCAAGCCAGGGGCAGCTTCCTCCACAGCCCTATAGGGGTCCCCTTGGACCAGGATGTTGCTGGGGCTCTGCCTGGACAAGGATGAGCAGGCCTTGCAGCAGCAGAGGCCAGGAAGGCAGGAGACCAGAGAGCCCAGGCAGGCAAGCGGCACAGCCTCCAGCCCTTCTGGCTCTTCCTGGGGACAGAATCTTGAGACTGCTCTAGGCCTGGCTGTTGCTGCCGAGCCTCCACTCATAGGACCCAGGGGATCCACAGATCCCTGGTCACCAAGGATTTTTCTATATGAATTGTATAAGGCCCGGCCTCTTTCTGAGCCTCATGTTCTCCATAAGGATCTGTGCCCTGATAGTGAAAGTGAGTTGAGAACACTGAGGGCCTACAGGGGCACTGGGAGTTGCTGGCTCCAGGGATCTCAGTGTCCCATCTGGCTATTCCCATGAGCTCCCCCCGCCCCAGCATTAAAGAGCTGGAGCTGGAGGCAGAGTCATTGGCTCCCAAGGGTGGGTGGAGGCTCCTTGGGGAGTGCCTTCATTTGTTGCCTGCCAGGGCCACAGATGCCTGTGGGAGCCTTACCCCAAGGGAAGGGCTATTAGCAGGGCACTGATGGATGAATGGGGTTTTCCCAGCTAGAAACTGGCAGACACTCTGCCATAGAATGGAAAGCAGGTGCCAAGCCATGAGGATGAGGAAGCCACTCTGTGATAAGAAATGGCAGAGTTGTGTGTGGCAGGACTGCTGGCCACAGGTGGGGAGAGGACTGTAAGCCCAGTGAGGCCAGGGCATGGGGACTCTCCTGTGCCAGGCAGAAGAGTTGGAGCTTCTCTCTGTGGGCAATATAAGCACCCAGCACTGGTGGAGCTGGGACTCCTATGGGAAGCTCTCCAGGTAACTGTGTGGCTGCCACTGAAGCCTACAGCCTGCACTGATGGCAGTGGCCCTGTTGAGTCAGGATGCAGATGGTGGATATGAGGGGTTTGGAAGGGCTCTGTCCAGGTGATGGGGCAGCAAGGGGAGGGAGGTACCTCCTGCCTCTGCCACTGGTCAGAGGGAGGACCTCAGAGTGTGCAGGGCTGGGCCTCTGGGTTTCCTCAGACTCTCACAGGAAACTGTTCCTCTCTATTTAGTAAGGGCCAGGGCAGGGCATGACTGGGGGCATGGCCTGTCCTCAGGAGTCTGTCTGTGTGTGCTCCAAGAAGGGAATTCCAAGGAATCCTGGGCCAAATATCCAGTAGCTGGAGATGGGCTTTTTACCCCAGAACCTTTGGTGATTCTGGGGATGGAAACAGCTCTGGATCTATGTGAGCTTGGCTTTAAGGAGGAGGCCTCTTCCAGCTGTTCCATTTTGCCTTCCTGGTCATCCACTGTTGCACCCCAGGTGTAAACTATTTAAGAGAAGAGGTTCCTGAGGCTGGAAGAGCTGGCTTTAAGTATTTACCCTGCCTCTTTCCAGGGTGTACAAACCACTCTCACCTCTCCCCACCCCACCTACTTCACAAGGCTGAGGGGTCACCAGGCAACTGCACTGTGCTGGTCTCTGGATGTGTCCTGCAACTTTGGCTGGCTCCGAGCTCCCTAGGAGCTGGACAGAATGACTGTACTCTGCTGGGCATAAGCTGGTGGCTGGGAAGGAGTACCAGGAAGGATGGACAAGTGGAGTACCAGCAAGCCAATGGACAAGTGGAGAGGTGGATGGTAGATGAGTGGATGAAGGAAGGAAAGAAGGGGGGAGGGAGAGTGAGAGGGCTGGAAGAAGGGATGGCAAAAAGAAAAGAGGGAAGAAAATGATGGATGGAATGGCAAGCTAAAAAAGAAAGAGCAAAAGGAGAGAAGGAAAGCTTATGAATGGATATATAGGTGGAAGAAAAGGAAGAAGGAACAGAGGAGGGAGAGGATGGATGGGTTTATGGATAGAAGTAAGGAGGGATACATGGATGGAAGGGAGAGGAGGAGGGAGGGAGGGAGGAAAAAAGAGATGGTGCATGGGGGAAAAAAGAGTTAGATGGAAGAATACATGTGCATCATACTTTAGAATAGCCTAAAAAAGGTTTTAAAGATTATAGAGGGGCTGGGGAGATAGCTTGGTGGTCTAAGTGTCTGCTTGGCAAGCACAAGGATCCGTGTTTGATCCCTGGTACTGCATGCTGTGCTGGCCTCCAGTGCTGACTGGCCACAAAAACCAGACATGGTGGCGCATGCCTATAACCCCAGCACTGGGGAGGCTGAGACGGGAGGATCACTCTAAGTCTGAGCTGTATAGAAAGATCCTGTACCAAGTAAATAAATAAACAAATAAATAAATGATTAAGGATTGTAGAATGTTCTAAAACCAACAGGATAGTGAACAGCTTTGACATGTCTTCCTGTTCTGGGGCCTCTTCCCATCTGTAGCACATAGCACCTGGGACCAGATCATCTCTAGAGGATATTCCATTCTATTGCTCTGGAAAGCGGATATTGCCCTTCCCCTTTTCCTTTGCCTACCTTCATTCCAGGATGTGGTTTGGAAGGTCCACCTAGCTCCTGGTTCTCAGATCCAGGTTGGGTGGCATGCCCCGTGGTCGTGGTCAACTCAGACAGGGCTGTTCTAGGCCTCCTTGGACTCTGCTCAGGATCAGGAACAGTCACCAAAGCAAACTAAGGCAACTGCTGCCTGGGTGCCTCCTCATGCAGGGCAAGGCCTTGGTGCTCCTATACCAAACAAACCAGAGCTGAGAAGAGATGTGGCCTTGAGGGGGGTCGTGGCTGCCCCCCTCTCATTCTTCACAAACTGCAACTCCAGCAAGCTAAGTTGTCTTTATTAGCTGGATAATTAAATACTTTAACCAGTTACCTCCAAATGCCAATGGTTTCATGTAATTGGTTTATTTCTCAGTCAGGTAACAGTTCAGTGAGGGTATGTGGTGGGCCCAGGCACCTTCCTTTGATGGCCCTGCTGGCCATTGGGAAAGAAAGCAGGCATGGCGATGCAGGAGGGTTTTTGCCTGCCAAGCCTGGCAGGAGAGCACATCCCTTAAGCCCCAAGGGAAGAAACATGGTGTGTCAGCTTGGGTTGTATTGGAAGGGATCCTATGCAGGCGTCTTCCGGTGGGCTGGCCCTGTGACTGGACCCCACGCGAGGGACTCCGGGTGTCTCCACTAGGGGTGGGAGGGGCTCCCCTCTGACACTGTGTGTTTCTTGCCCACAGTATGTGGCCTTTGCCTCCCTCTTCTTCATCCTGGTCTCCATTACCACCTTCTGCCTGGAGACCCACGAGCGCTTCAACCCCATTGTGAACAAGACGGAGATTGAGAACGTGCGGAATGGCACGCAGGTGCGCTACTACCGGGAAGCGGAGACGGAGGCCTTCCTCACCTACATCGAGGGCGTCTGCGTGGTCTGGTTCACCTTCGAGTTCCTCATGCGCGTTGTCTTCTGCCCCAACAAGGTAGAGTTCATCAAGAACTCACTCAACATCATTGACTTTGTGGCCATCCTCCCCTTCTACCTGGAGGTGGGCCTAAGTGGCCTGTCCTCCAAGGCCGCCAAGGATGTTCTGGGCTTCCTGCGCGTCGTCCGCTTCGTGCGTATCCTGCGCATATTCAAGCTGACCCGACATTTTGTCGGTCTGCGGGTTCTGGGCCATACGCTGCGCGCCAGCACCAACGAGTTCCTGCTGCTCATCATCTTCCTGGCCCTGGGTGTGCTCATCTTTGCCACCATGATCTACTATGCCGAAAGGATAGGGGCACAGCCCAATGACCCCAGCGCCAGTGAGCACACGCACTTTAAGAACATTCCCATCGGCTTCTGGTGGGCTGTGGTCACCATGACAACACTGGGCTACGGAGACATGTACCCGCAGACGTGGTCTGGCATGTTGGTGGGAGCACTGTGCGCGCTGGCAGGCGTGCTGACCATCGCCATGCCCGTGCCTGTCATCGTGAACAATTTTGGGATGTACTACTCCTTAGCCATGGCTAAGCAGAAACTACCAAAGAAAAAAAAGAAGCATATTCCACGGCCACCGCAGCTGGGATCTCCCAATTATTGTAAATCTGTCGTAAACTCTCCACACCACAGTACTCAGAGTGACACATGTCCGCTGGCCCAGGAAGAAATTTTAGAAATTAACAGAGCAGGTAGGAAACCTCTTAGAGGCATGTCGATCTGACCTTTCACCTCCGCCCCCTGTAGCGATGATTGCAGATTCAGTCAGACTGCTTCCTTAGTTCTGTGGGCAACCCGGGACCCTGCACTCAGTCTCGAGGTGTGGAGCCTGGGGGCCCAGGGAAACACTGGGCAACCACATTCAGAAGGCAAGAGCCTGCTAGAGGAACCTCACTGGTGGCCCTGGGTAAGAAGGTTGATGTGGTTGGTCTCGTGATGTTGTGAATAGGCCACACACCGCGAGGTTGCTGAGGACTATCTTGGCAGGAGCCCGGGGGCTGCTGCTCAGGTGGGCAGGAGTCAAGCGTGAGTCCTTGACTCAGGCTACTGACCCAGTGTTGGAGCGGGGTGGGGGCGGGTGTGATCGGAGGTGCCAGACTGATTTGGTCCTTAACACAGTACTTCTCAGGCTGCGTAGAAGCAGAAATGGTGCATGGGATCCGGGCAGGACGGTCCCTGCAAAGGCAGTAGTGAGGATTCTCAGCCCCGGCAGAACCTGACTTCATAGTTGAGTAGAATTCCTGCTCTGATTCTGGCTGCCTAGCTCCAGGTCCTTCCTAGGAGATGCCCCAGCCCGCTGTGACAAGCTTACTTACCCCATAGCATGCTGAACCAACTCATCCTCTACCACCACTCTAGAGTTTAGCGATTATCTTTAGGAACCTGTTGGAGTGACTCTGGCTTTCACCGATGTCTGTTTGGGTTAATGGCCCAGTGGGAGTTTCTGGTGACTTTCTGATGGAAGTGGCTAGTGAGCAAAAGACTAGAGGGGGCCACCACCCTAGGCAGCTTAGATGAAAGCGCTACAGACCAGCAACAACCTCCTACTGAGAGTTGTCCCCATGTCCAGCGATAGGGACTGCAGCAGCAATACAAGACATCGTAACCAGTGTTCAACCACTTTCCCGTAAACTCATTGGGTGTCAGGGAGGGGGAGGGGCCCGTGAAACAATACTAGTCACTGTGGGATATATTCTAATATTCCATGGCTAGTGGTTCGTTATGGGACTATCTCAGTTTTATGAGAATCTGCACATAGCACATAAAGTTGATCATGGGGCTCTGGTCCGAAGATATAAAGCCCATAGTCTACCTCTACCCATGGAATACCATCGACTTACTCTGTAGACACAGAGATCTCAAAGGAATGGATAACCCAGAGAAGAATGACAGGACTGTGCTAGAAGAGAGCACCTGGGGGACATGAGGTTGGTGTGAGAGATCAGATCCGTTTAGTCCAGGAAAGACACCCCAGTGCCCAGGACTGGCATGTGCCCAGGCTAGTGCAGCCCCAGGTGAGGAAGTGTTCCCCCTTGGTTCAGGTGGCCTCCTCCATGGATGACTGATTTCCTGCCCTGTTGCCCTGTTTTCTGATCCACTACCCCATCCCAGTCCTGTTCTGGTTCAATCCCACAGCTGTGCCAGCCAGAGCACTACACCCAAGGACTGGTTCTCTGCCTGTGGGGGCTTTCTAGCCCCTCTGCCCAGCCCTCATACCTTCCCCTTCCAGGACTCCTGCAGGCATCTAGAGAGTGTGGTTGGGATGGGGGAGGTGAACAGAGCCTCAGAGACTGAAATGGGGGAAAGCTCTTCATCAAGTCATGACTGTTATTGGGAAGCCCCTGCCCGTGCCCTGCTTTATTAAGCAGCCCTCTGACCTCAGGAGCCACCATTAGGGCAAGGCCAGGTCCTGGGACTCTGGGGAAGCACTGCAGAAGCACCCATCGAGGGGCACTGCCATCATGCTGTGCGCCTTCCCAGTGCATCCTCCCAAACACGCATCTTTCAGGATTGGCGTCACAAACACGGGGCCCTCAGGCCAGCCCACCAAGGTGCCCATTCACTCCAGGTGGGCACAGATTTCTCTGCATGTCTAGGTAGCAACAGTATTATCCATGCGCACACACAGATACTCAGAGGCACAGGCACACACACACACAGTGGCATGCATGTGGACACACACAGGAGTATAGTTTTGTGCTTTCAGACATACATACTAGCTAGGTCCAGGGACAGCCAGGTCTTCTGGGGTCTCCAACCCTTCCTCAGGTTCAGTGACCCTGTCCCTCGCTGCTATCTCACCATGGGTGGCTCTGGTTCAAACAGTCTCATGGCCAAGCTTGCTCTCTGCAGTGAATACCTAGCCCTCCCCGCCAGCCTCCATGTCCATTTCTAACCCCCTCCCAAGCACTCGCTTCCCCTGGTGGTGTCACTGCTGGCCTAGTGTTCAGACCACCCTTCTGATTCAGCCCAGAGACCCCAGGTCCACTCTGAGCCTCATCCCTTGCCAGAACCCTCCTCCCTCCACAAGCTGTGTGTGAGACTTGGATGATCAGTCACCAAAAGGGGGTGTACTTCTCACCTCTGCACTGGTCTCCCCTCCACTGCCATCTGCTTGTACCTGTACACTAGGTGGGCTGTAGGGGGCAGTTTGTGAGCATGAGGGAGCAGACAGAGGCCAGGATGGCACTATGGTTAGTAGGGAGCATGCAGGACTCCAGTTCCACTTCCAAGCCCAAGTGGTGTTCTAGACTCTGAGGGCCCCCCACCTCCGCTCCCAGGCCTCCCAGGCTTCTAGCAGCTCCTTCCTTCCCCTCCCCCTGCTGGTCACTCCTGTAACGTCCATCTGTGTGTCTGTCCCAGGGATGACTTAGTTTCCTCTGAGACATGGCACAGTGTCAGTGTTTGAGGGTCTTGTCCTGGGGCTGTCAAGGGTCTAGTTCCTACCTGGCTGAAGCCAGGAGGGGGCATCCAGGGTGTGCCTGGGGCTGAAAGCCCAGGAGAAGCTGCTCCTCTCCCCAAAAGCCTCCTGCTCTGGGCAGCTCTGAGCACTCCCTCTGTCCTGCCATGTCCGTTGCCGTGTGTCTTGTCCATATCTGCTCCTCTGATGTGGGTCAGTCCTTTATGGCGCCATGTCCAGGGTCCCAGTGTAGGTGAGCAGGGGTGTGGCAAGGAGGGAGGGCAGTGGCAGGGCTTCTTTCCTGCAACCTAGGCAACAGCAAGGTCCCAGAGAAGCCCCTCGCTGGGGCCAGGGAATCATCACGGCACCCTGTGGGTCATCTTTGGGGTGTGGGTTTCCCTCCCCTAGCCCTACTCCTCCACCTGTCGGGTGATGTATGGGGGGCAGAGTCAAACAGGCAGGATCCAGCATTCAGGGGGCTTGGCAGCTTGGACCCTGAGTGGGGTCCTTGTTGTCACTTGTGGGCTGAGGGGAGCAGGAGAGAAGTGAGCCGAGTACGAGAGCCAGGTGTGGGTGTTCTTTTCCATGTTATTCACATTCTCTCTCTCTCTCTCTCCACTAATCATGTCTTTCTCTCTCTCTCCTCGTTTTGTTGCATGATTTGTGCTGGTTCTCGTGGTTATGTCTCACAGACCGTTCCCACTTAGCCTGGGACGTTTTCCCCTGAGTCCCCAGCTGGGCAGACCTCTGGGGGGTAAACCCAAGGATACACCCAGCTCCCCACCCCACCCGAGCCCTGCGTGCGCCCCCTGGCGCCCGCCACTGGTGTGAACAGTAAGTACATCGGCGGTGCCTGCATAAGGGGCAAAAAAGCCAGCGTCCTGGCTCAAGGCCCACCACTCAGGTTCTCCTTGCTCCAAAGTTTAAAAAAAAATGACCCTCTTGTGGATGCTCATCTCAGCCCATTTCAAAGCCTGGAAACCATCTGAGACGCTGCCCATGTTGTCATCCCATGATCACAGGCTGAGGCTTTAGCGGGACCTCAGGAAGACAGGTGGGAACCCAGGCTCCTGGCTGCCATCTCATCCAAAGGCTGGGGCCAGGGCAGAGTGTGGGGTGTGGGGTGGAGGTCTTGGTTAGCTTGCACCTGTGGGCCTCTTCACCGGCTCCCCAGGTTAGACACGTGGGCCTTCCTTGGTTTTCCCACTGGAGTATATTTGGGCATGGGTATCCCAGTTCCTGAGAGCACCCCGAATTGCACAGAAACCAACACAGTCCATCACAGTCCCCTTGTTAGAGGTCAGGGCTGAGAGAAGAAGCAGGCCTAGCAGTGTCCTGGGGACATGCTTGTCAGGCAGCCCTGATGGCTGCTCCTTGCCCCTATAGCTTCAGGGAATAATGAGCCCAACTTTGGACTCTTCAAAGTTCTGAGAGCCCTAGGGCAGGGGCTTGGGAGCAGAGCTGGAGGAGGGGGCTTAGGCTGTACATCTGCAAAGGCAGGGGCAGAGAGGGGCGGCCACCTTTGACCCCTCCCCTGGATGAGCACTGCAGGTTGACACCTCCACTGAGGGCTGCTGGCCAAGAAATGCCAAGCCCTTACACCCCTCAGAGGAAAAATCATGCAGGGTACTATGGATCCGAACTTGTACACCCTCATGCCATTCCCAGCCCAGAATCCCTTGGGGAGGATGCCCTGAGGCCTGTCTCTGAGCACCCATGTGCCAGCAGACTCACCCCTCACACTAGGCAGCCCCCAGCCCCAGTCACATGGTGTCAGAGTTTCCTTGGTAACTGGCCTTTCTGGTTTAGAGCAGTTGGGGAGTGAAGCCCCTGGGATTTGTCAAGAAACACACTGTACATGAAATGCTTTGCCATCTTGTACGAGAGACATTTTTTTTAAGTTCCAAAATTATGATGGGATTTTTGGATTTGCTTTACCAATAAACCTGATTGGTCCATTTCTCTTTTGACTGACTGCCTCTTTGTAGTGACACAATATGTACACGGGTGTCGATCCCACCCACGTTCACGCTGAGCGTGTGCACGCGGGGAAGGATCACTCCTTCGTGCAGTTACTGATGTGAACAGGATCACGGGAGTGTCAGATCAGGTGGAAATGTTTCCTGCTTCCCCTCTTTAACCCCTGGCAGCACCTCCCCAGTCTGGTGGCCCATGTTGGCTTCCTTCTTTCACGAACTTGGGCCCGCCCTTGAGGCCCACCCCAGGTGCACTGTTGGAGTTGGGTCCACCTGGCCAGGAAGAGCCTGCTTTAAGGGCAGAGGATGTGGGGCCTCATCCCCAGAGTGATGGTGTGGGGGCCAAGCCAGTCAGTGCCTGCTCTGCCAGCCCAAGGCCTCCCTGGCGGTGCTAGTGGAATTGGAAGCCCCAGGGCTCCTTGTTGTGGCCCCACTTTGCCGCCCACCAGAGATGGCCCCAGACTTCCTCCCAGATTCCTTTTCAGGCTACCACGAGTTTTCTCCACCCTAGTCCATCACCCACTGTTGTCTTCTACACATCCATTTGCTCTGCTTTGCTGGGGACACTGGCAGGAGACAGGAAGGGTAGCCCTTCCCACATCCATGTCCTCCTTGCAGCCTCATGCCTACATTGCTGTTGTGGCTGTGTGAGCTGATCAGGCCCGCTGGAGAAGACGCTGGTGCGGTGTGTGTGGGAAGCCATGTGGCTGAGTGCTGGCTTTGTGTGACAGTGGAGCAGACGAAGGAGCTGAACTGGTCTCTGAGGGGACAGAGATGAGTGTGCCCATGACCAGTGTGCATGGAGAATAGGGTAGACCAGGCTGATTGTGTCCCTGTGGGGACAGAGCTGAGATGCGGGACAGGGAATGGGGAATCGGGGTGACAAGTCTGGCTCCTGATGGGACAGAGCAGAGGATGTGAGCAGGCCTAGACCGAATGGTAGACACCTACAGAGTGACTAGACTGGGCCGTTAGGGGACAGAGCAGGATGTGTGACCAAGCCTAGTTTGCATGGCGAATGTGACACCAAAATGACTAGCCAAGTTCATCGGGAATGGTGAGGCTGAGCTATCCTTGGTGGGGGTGACAGCAGAATGAACCTAGTGATGGCATGGGGGCCACAGGGGGCAGAGCGAAGTGGATCAGATGAGGTCTGGATTGGGCAGGGAAAGCACGAGTGACGCCTGGGTGTCGATGAGAAGCAGCCAGGCTCTGGTCAGCTGCGGGGTCTGGAAGGCCTTCTCTGGACTGGAGCATTTCCGCATGTCTGTCTGTCTCTCCCTAAGCTCTGTGTCTGGCCCTTTCCCCATGACTGCATCCACACCATCCTGTCTCATCAGCCCCGCCTTGGGCTTTGGGCCTGGTCCCCAGTGCACATGCTGGGTCCATCACCAACTCATCTTTTTGCAAACTTTGAGCAAACCCAGGAGTCCTTCCCTCCCTGCACTGTGGGGAGGCTGCTGGAATGAGCTGAGCCCCATCTCCCACCTCGTGCCCTTCTCTGTGGCCCGCTGCTTTGCCATCCTTGGGATGGGCTGCCCTTTACCAAAGCCCCGCCTCTGGCTTGTCCCCCTCTTCACTAAACAGTTTTCAGTGTCTCAATAGCTTCTGCTTATATGTTTGAAGATTCCAAACTGAATGGGGAGGTGGCGAAGGCCGCGCTGGCGAACGAAGACTGCCCCCACATAGACCAGGCCCTCACTCCTGATGAGGGCCTGCCCTTTACGCGCTCGGGCACCCGCGAGAGATACGGACCCTGCTTCCTCTTATCAACCGGGGAGTACGCGTGCCCACCTGGTGGAGGAATGAGAAAGGGTATGTAGAGGAAGCTGGAGCACTATGCATCGGCTGGGCCGCCTCGCGCTCCTGCAGATGGGTGGGCAGGGTGGCGAGGGAGGGGTGCTGGGGGCAGGCAGGCACACAAAGATGGGCAAGGATGGAGGGAGTCCCACAGGGTTGGCCCCCAGAAGTCTGAGCCCCCTTTCCCCAGTGGGGATTCAGGTTGGCACAGCCATACTGAGGCCCAGGCAGCTGTGGGTTGGCATTGAGCTAAGATGGTAGAAAGAGGCTTGGCATAGGCTGACAGATTATGGGCCATGACTACAAGGCAAGAAGTACCCGGGGAAGCTGGAGGAACCTCTCGCAGGCTGTTCCAGTAGGGCCAGGGCAGGTCCAGGAAGCAACATGATTTCTCCTCTCCCCTGGTTGAGGAGGGTAGTGGGGTGGGTGGACATGACTTGGTCAAAACCTGTGAGTTTAGCAATCCAAGATCCTCTTATGGAAGAGGACCCTTTAAAGAGTCTACAGGCCAGTGGGAGGGGAAGCTTCAGGGTCTGGGGACAAGGCCCTAGTCATTGTAGAGGTAAGGTGTATGCCAGGCTAGTGGCAGATAGAGACAAGGTGGGCAAGAGAAAGTGTGCTACACCTTAGATCCCAGTGTTCATTGGCCACTGCCCCAGTGTGGTGAGCGCCCCCTTGTGGTTGGAGAGGGCTGAGACCACCGGTGGCCTCTGTGGGAGGTCTCTGTGTATAGAAGTCAGAACTTCAGGCTGACCCTGCTGGAAAGAGGCTTCTAGTAGAGCTTGAGCATGGGCTGGGGAGAGGCTTGGGGGTGTCCAGAGTGGCCCAGGCCTGGAAGATAGGCCAAGCCTTTCTTGGTGCAGTGGACTGGCTGGGCAGCTCATGCATGTCGGGAGCGCCTCACATACGCACATGGATGCTTGCTGGTAGAGGGCATAGGCTGGGTCAGATAAATACTTGGAATTTTGAGAGCAACAGATGGTGTAGTTTGTGGCCATTGTCAACCACTCTAGTATTTGAAGTGGCTAAACCAGATGCAAGGAGAAAAAGAGACTTCAAAATCAAAGGCAAACCTTTGAAGAGGAGAGGCAGCCTACATGGAGACAAAGAAGAGTCCTCTGGGCCACTAGGGCTTGGTTGTGCCCACCTGTTCTAGGCTGGCCACTGCTTCTCTGCTCTGTCTGGAGCTCCCTGGGACCTTGGCGTGGTGTACTACTCCCGCATGGTGCTGCATGGCAGAGGGCTGCTGGCCTTGGGGAGGGCTGCCATCCTTGGCACCATCCATGGATGGGCCTGCTGCTCCCCTTTGCAAGTGGCTTTTTCCCATGTGGAGACTCTAGAAGGCTCAGGAGCAGGGGTCACCCTGGAGAGGGGCAGGAAGACCTTTCTCAGGGGCTGTGCCCTGCTAATGAGGTCTCATGGCTGCCCTTCTCCTTCATCTTGAACTTGGATCAGTTGGTGCAGCCTAGCAGAATAGACAGCAGTCTCTAGACTGTGCTTCCAGAAGCCCAGGGAATGTGGGACCAAGGCAGCTCATAGTGGTCAGAGCCCAGCAGCAACCACTGTTCACAGATGACACCCACTGCCTCATCCTATCCTGGCTTAGGCACTCAGATACTCTGGGAGGTTCCAGGGTGCAGACCCCACCTACTTCTGTACAGCCCCACCTCTCCCGAAGTCCTGACAGCCACTGAGGACTTTTTCTGAAGGTGATTCTGAGCCATAATCCAGCAGATGTTGGAGGCCATCTGGAGAGTAGAATTAGGGGCTCCACCCGTTCCCCAGAAGGGACAGAAAGAGGCTGCTAGGCTGGCTCGCTGCATGGGAAATAAGCCAGCTGGAGAAGAACCTGCCTGCCTCTGCATGCGGCTGTTCTGTCTTTCTTCTTCCTTCCTTAAAAACTAAGTACCAAGCGGGATGGGAAAGCCGAGAAGACAAGCTCAAGTGTTAATTGTATTCTTTACATACAGATCTTTGCAAAGAAAGCCCTGTCATTGCTAAGTATATGCCGACAGAGGCTGTGAGAGTGACTTGACCAGGCGGCTTGGCCGAGGACACTGGTGGCTATTAAGCATCTGGGTGGACCTGCAGCCCCTCCTCACCCTCGGACAGAGTAATTCACGCCATGCAGGTTTGCCGGACGAGTCCGAGTGGCACAGGCATTGTACTAGGACGGACGTAGCTTTTTCTACGGCCAAATGGTAACTGACCGTAGAGGATTTCTTTTTCTTCTTTTCATTTTTTAAAAAAAATTATTTTATTTGGGAAGGGGGGTGGAGGGGCTCCTTAGCATGACTTGCATGAAGTTAAACAGAAAACCCAACAAATCAAACCCACCAACCCCCTACAACTGTATGATTACCCTAAACAACAATAATGAAAAGAAAAGCAAAAGTCCCATATTTTCTTTCATAACTTTTTACTTTTTACACATTGGTGGAGCCCAACTGTAACAGAGATCGGTAGAAACCTGTACATTTCTGGAAGTGGGGGTGGGGCGGGCTGGGGAGGAACGATGGAGATGGGGAAAGAATTGCTTCCCTGTTTGTGCACAAGATGGAAAGCAAAGGTTCCGAAAAGGGCAGTTGGTCAGTCATCGGTCATATTGACCTCACCTTCATACTCATCTCTCATGCGGAAACCGAGAACTTTGCTTCACATAGAATTGTGGAAACTCGCACTGCCGTCCTCTTCTGTTTGGCATGCTTGTGACCCAGCAAACGTCTCCCCAAGACCTGACAGCGGCTAGTCTAGGTTGGTTCTCTCATCCTCCCGGTGTGTAGATCCAGTGTGACCAACTTTCATAACAAATTGTTCATAGTAAATAATCAGCACCGTATGGATTTTCCAAGTGTTATTTTAAAACCAGGATGTAGAGCACCAAAAGTTCAGGGCCACAGGAGGGGTGCCCTCCTCCACTTTTACCAAGGCGCAACCTGGCACTGTATGCAATTTAGTACTTCAGAGTTAAAAACTGCATGCCCAATGTTATGCAAAGCGATTTGAGCATGAAATAAATTTTGTATCATGGTTTCTGTATAGTCTAAAGCAGATTTGTTTTCCTGAAGCAATTGGAGGTTTGCAGAGACACGCTTCTGCATCTCGAATAAATATAGTATTTTCCCAACAGAAACAGAGGACAGTAGCTTGGCTTTGGTCTGATTCTAAAATTAGTTGGGGGGGGAGAGGATGATATTTTTGAAAAACACATGCTTGGGTTGAAAAAAATGCAACATCTCGAGCTTTCACTGCAGCTCAAAACATTTCCTGGAAAGAGAGCAACGATGCTTTAGCTCAACAATCTCCCCTCCCCTCTGGGCCCCGGCCCCAGAAATAAAAAACTGACTTTTGAGATGAAGCACGTATTTGGGTTTTTATTGCCTCCAGGCAGTGTCGTGATTCTCTTTTGGACTTCTGGTCTGTGTGGCTAGGCTGGGGTAAGCCCTGGCTAAGGCTGCTGCTCCTGCCAACCCAGTGGGGGACAGCCAGGTCTTAAGGAGGAAGCTGATCCCTTCAGGTTGGTTGGGCAGGATGGCCCCTTGCATTGTACATACTGTTGGGCTGGGGGGAGGGAGGTAGCTCTCAGATGACACAGGGGGTCCGAAGACCTGCTGTAAGACCAGCATGTCCTCTGGGGTCCACTTGGTATGTACATTTCTCTGTGCATAAGGCCATATTGATGAATCTTTGAATCTGGACACATCAGAACCTCCAGTTCCCCTCTGCAGACCGTGGTCATGTCCCTGCTAGGGTCATTGATGAAAGTGATGGAGACAGAAGCAGAGATCCCACCTGCCAGTTCTGGTCCCCCAACTAGCTGTAGCCTTGCATGTACAACCTGGTAGAGCACCTCTTTGAATACCCAATCTTGGAAGTATAGTTCTCTCCTAGGGATCTTGACTTGCTAAAATTGTTCACTTGGTTTTGGTGGAGGGGCAGGGTGGAGGAGTCAATCCTTTTCTCATCCATGGGAAGGAAGTCCCAGGAATGTTCAGGTAGAAAGAGTCTCTGAAGGACATGGTTGTCAACCTCTGAGCATTTTATAGATGAGCAAATGGAGCCCAGGGAGGGGAGTTATATGCCCAGGGATGAAAACAAGGGGTAACAATCTTCTCTGATTTTAGTTCCCTTATACCTCCCAGCATGGCCTAAGTCAATGATCCTATGGGTGGGTAGGAGGCTTAAGGTGTGTGTTGAATTTTCATTTACCAGTTTTTCATCCCCTTCTTGCTTTTGCCTCAACTTCCTGTTGCCCTGTGAAGCCCAAGGACTAAGGAATTGGGGTTGATGGAGCCTCTGCCCAGGGTTATATGGCTTCCAGCTGTAACAACTATACATCTCATGATGTGCATGCTAAGCAGCCTTGGCTATTGCAGGGAGGTTAATGTCTATGCTACCCAGGGATCCAGGGCAAAGAAGAGCCAGTGATGAACACCACAAAACCATCTGGAATCTGCTTTTCAGGTCATGGGAGCTAATGGGAAAAGGGAATTAACATACAGTCAGCATCTACTATGTGGGGGGCATCTTGCAAACCATGTCTAATGAGAGCTCATAACAATTCAACAGTCCCATTTCAGAGGAAAGAAAACAGGTGCAGAGAGCTAAAACAGTAACTGGCCCAAAGCAACACAGCCAATAAATGATGAAGTCATGCTTTGCACTTAGGTAGTCTTTGACTCCAGAGCTCAGGCTAAGCTGTCTCATGGTAGTTGAGGATCTTCTGGGGCTCGTTCTTTGAGGCAAAATTGACAGAAACACTGGAGTGGTGGGTCCTGAGAGTCCCAGGAACCTCAGGACTTGGCTTCATGCCCTCTTTCATGAAGTACCATGGGTATGACAGCAGAGGCCACTTCGCATCCAGCTGGTGGCTCACCCATCCCAACAGCTGGCCCACCCCTTTCTCCTGCTTTAGTGCCCCTCCACCCCAAGAATGGCACGGAAGCTCCTTCAGCTGGGAGGCCTCTCTAACCTGTTCTCACACCCACCTCCCTCTGTGCTTCAGCTACTCTGAAATTCTGACCTGTTGCAGCTACACATTCATGCCTTAGGACCTGGAACACTTTCCCTCTAACAGCCCCTCTACTTTCCCAGTAACTTCAATTGCTAACTTGACTTTAGCAGATCACTGAATCCCTTCAGCCAGAAGTAGAGGATGCTTTGGGCCTGGTGAAAGGCTTTAGTCTGGGCCACAGGCCTAGATTACTAGGCCCCATTTCGTCGAAGCTTGGTTGGATGGCCCTCAACTCATTGGGCTGGGGATAGTGGGTGTGCAGGGCAGATGGGATATCAGTGATCAGGAGGCTATGCAAGATGGAAACATCCTATCAATACCCAGGACATGCTGGTCCTTCAATGATCACCCAAGCAGCCAGGCCAAAGGCCTAGGAGCACACACTGGAGGCTGTTCTCTCTTCTGTTCCCTTTCTTCCTTCTCACAGCGGAGAAATATAAAAACTAATTTACTCAAAAATAATTTTTCAGAAAAAATAGTTTTTTGGGCTGGGAAGATAGTTCAGTGGAATAAGTGCTTGCCTGGCAAGCACAAGGTCCTGAGTTTGATCCCTGGTACTGCCAAAAAAAAACAAAAACCAAAACCAAAATTGAGTTAGCTCCTATGGCTCATTAACCAGGTGGATGACAGTGTCATTGACTGTCAAACAGCTATGATATCCACAACACAGCTCTCAAGTTTCTCCTTACCAGAGTGGGATAAAACAAAAGCTGGGTAAGGATGAGGGAATCAGAGGCCACTCAGCTAACCTCTGCACTTCATGGTGACCCTACACGTATACAGATGAACTCATTCATTTACTTTTATTGGCCACTTTTGTACTAGGAATAATCCTTGGTGAAGTGTTCTAGAATTGACCAAGACCTTGATCCAGTGTTCTCAGGGAGATTATGGTGTAGTAAGAATGGGAGCTTGGATGTTTACAAAGTCTGAGGATGATGCAATGCCAATCAAATAACTCAGAAAAAAAAAAATTCCAGGAGACACCTGTCAACACCTCCTTACTTATCATGTGGGGAGTGCTTGCCGACACCAGAGCCAGCGTGAAGTGACTAGGGAAAGCCCTTCTGCTGATGTTGCTGCCAAGAAGGGTGGGATGGAGGAACCTGACATGATGGAGTAGCCTGTGGCATGTCCTTGTGCCCAGAGCCATTCATCCTTCCAGCAGAGCCACGACTGTTGTGCCCTGCTGCTCCAAGAAGGATCCGAGTCAGTTCCCAGAGAGGGAGGCTCCAGATCCAAGGGCTTAGGGCGATGCACTCACCCAACACCTAATTCTGTTTCAGCCTGGGATGAGCACTGGGACACTTCTTCCCGGTGCTCAGAAAGTGGTCTCAGTAGAGATGTTAAGATTTAGCAGCAGGGAACTTGGAGTTTAGGGTTCCTCTAGTAGGTGCTGGAAAAGGTAGGAAGGAGCTCTGCTTTGCAATCTTTTTTTTTGAACCGGGGATTGAACTCAGGCTCTTGTGCTTGCCAGGAAAGTGCTTACTCTACTGAGCCATCTCCCTGGCCCCTCTGCTTTGTAGTCTTATAGGAAAGGTTGTACTGGTTCCTTATGAGCAAAAACTTGTCGGTGAGGTATGGGCCTGTGAGGTTCTGTCTCCCTGGGATTGCTTTCTGCCTTGTTGGATCTATAATGCATCCTGCAGGAAATTGGATGATAGCCAGTCACCTTGGGCTTGCTCCAGGATGGATCATCTCTGGGCTTTCTAAGGGTTCTGTCGCTATGGGCCTGGTCACTTTGGCAATACCAGCCCTGAATATAGACACTACACTGATGCCTGCTGGTGCTTGGAAGTGGCAGATCAAGGGCTTTGCCACCATATTTCTAGAATGCAACATTGGGAGCAGGACTCCCTGCACTAGTATTCAAGATCTGTGGATGCAAATGGTCTCTAGGTGCAGGCTGGGGAGCTCAGGCTTCTCCTTGGCCACATTCTCTTTCACTAAATCCTCTCCTAGTCCCAGGGTTATTCTCTATCCCACCCTTATCTATCTCAGGGCCCCGGAAGGGTCACTTTTAGTCATAACCCAGGATCTGAGGTGAGTTATATGCCCTTAAGATGGCCCCTTCCCACATGAGCGATGAAAATGTTGGAAAAGAGTAGTCATTTAAAAAACTCTCTCAAGGACTCCTTGTCAAATGAAAATCCAACATGTAACATATGGACAACATTAAAGCCACTCTGAATAAGGTGGAATTGGGCAATCCAGTCCTTTGTCTACTTAGCCTGTTTTCCCCATAGTCCACAAGGAGGCCACAGATCCTCAGTAGACTCCAGGTCTCTGAAGAATGCGGAAGAAAGCCACTAAGCTGGATGGAGATCAAAGGTCCTTTTGCTTGGATATCTGGAGCCTAGCTATCACAGACCCAAACTTGGAAGCTGTAGCCATTATGGTCACAAAGGATGACTCTAGTGTCCTGTCTGGCTTAGATTAAGACTTAAGTCTTCCAAAGAGTTTCACTGGTTCTAAACTCCTTTGTCTGTGTCAGGGGTCTCTTACCAAAGTCTTGGTTTTCTTTCTCCACTTATTCATTTTACTCCCTCACATCTTCACTCCAGAGTCTTCTCTTTGGCCCCAGTAACCAAAGGTCTTCCTTCTTCCCTCCCCTCCCCCTTCTCCTCCCTTCCCTTGACCTGCCTTCCTCTCTCCTTCCCTGCCCTCCCCTTCCCTTTCCTTCCCTTCCCTTCCTTTCCTTCTTTCCCTAATCTCCAGGCAGTGGACCTCAATATCTCTGAACATGCAAGCTGCCTGCTCTAGGTCCTGAGAGTACAACCTAAGGATAGGCTTGGGGCTGCTAGAGTCCTCTGTTTTGCAAACCAAAGGCTGCTGAACCCACCAGGGCTATGGCAGGGTTTTCTATCTGCCAGTCAGGGTGAGGTCGGAGGCTTCCTGCTGGGGCTTTAGCTTTCCATGTCCTTTCATACAGACCTACCTCTTCACTGCCTCGCTGAGTAAAGATGTCTCCTTGAGTTGAGCTGAACACAGGGCAAGCAGTTGCCCATTTTCTGGTTTGTTGGCTCAAGTCAACCTACAGCCTAACACAGTGAGTCTCTGGGAAAACGTCTGGTGGGAAAAGCCACTTTATTAAACATTCTCTATCACAGTTTCTCATTTCTGGATTTGTCAGTTTGGCTTTGGGTTGAAATTGCTATCTCTCCTTCCAGCTTCTCTTTGTCCAACGCTTCCTGAGATTCAGTGTCCCCAATGGCATTTGAGGGATGGTATGTGACGTTGAGATCCTTGTCTGGAGCAGGTTGTCCTGGCAGCTGACAGAGGGCAAGGGAGTGGCCAGCCCCACAGCCCACAAGGAGTCCTGGCACCAACAGCAGGTCTTGCACAGGCTTTGGGGCCCAGACATTGGCTTCAGTGCCATCCCCGCACATGCCATGCTCATTCCATCCCCAGGAATAACACGTCCCACCTGTGAAGGAGAGGGAGCTACTGTAGAATGGTTTTGGAAACAGCACAGAAAAACACTCACTGAGGGTTCAAGTTCCCTCAGAGAACACAATTCGCACAAGAAGAAACCCAGCTCAGCAGTACTTGGAGGAGTGTTAACTGTTCCCTCTGGGCCCACGTCTGCTGCTGTTCCATGATGTTCTGTTCCCACCACCTGTAACTGTCTATGCTCCAAACCTGGCCTTCCTCTTTGGCCCTTCACTCATGGTCACATGTAACCCATTACCAAGACCTGAGAACCCTGACTCCAGGAAGATCTCAAACTTCCTAGTCTGTCCATCTGCACAGCCACCACCCTGATCCAGACCACCGTTTCCTCCTGCCTGGGCCACAGCAACAGCCAGCTAGCTAACGAGGCTGCTCACTGTCTACTCTGGTCTTAAGAGGGATCTCTGACAACTATAAACCTGATTGCACACTGCCTTCCTGCTTGACACCAATCCTTCAAAGACTTTCCAAGGCACTGAGAGAGGCACTTCCCTGACCTAAGATCTGATGCCTTGAACAACTCTTCCCCACCTTCTCTTTCTCACTTTGTCCCCAAGCCCTGGCTCCTTTCACTTCCTCAAGGTCTTCTTTCCTCTAGAAGTCCCAACTTTTAGGGGTTCCAGGCCTCCTCATGCTTTTTACTCCAGTCTAAATATTGTGCAGAGGATAGACACCCAAGTCATCCATTCTTACAGGGCTTGTTTTTTTTTTCCTCTAGAAGATTGCACACTTCGCAGTGATGTATGATCTATTTGGTGACCTTTTACTGTCCCCTCCTCAGTGGCCTATGTCCTCTGGTGAAGGAAGAAGCATGCCTGTTTCATCATTCTGTCTCCAGCGCAGTGCCTGGATCTCAATAAGGACCCAACTTACTGTTGAATAAAGGAATGGACAAATGCACAGTCACACAGTCACGAAGTGGCCAGCCAGCACTAAAGCCCAGGCCTTGCAACAGCCCAGGATGCTCCCATCTCACCACACCTCCTTCCTAGGGCTTAGGCCCTCTGCTAGGGGCTAAGCTCCCTTGCACTTTTCTGTGTTGTGTTAATAGTTTCTTCTGGATAGAAAAATAATACATCTCCATGCCAAGAAAAAAAAAAAAAAAACATGGAAAAGAAAAGTGTAAGGGAAAGCAGCCTTGCAGAGTCTTGCCTACTACTATGAATATCTTGTATATCTCTTTAAACCTTGAACTTGTAAAACACACAAACATTTGTACATATTTTTGTCCTGCTTTTACCCGTTAATAGTATAACCCAAACATTTCTCCATGGACTTGCAAAATATTAAAAAAGTAAATTAAAATAATTTACTTGAAGTTTTGATACAGCTCAAAATACAGAAGGTACTGAAAGTAATGTGAGAAAAAGACCCATATCCTTACCTAAATTAAGAACACTGAAATTGACATTTTTCTGTATCTGTTTCAAATCATCCTCTAAAAAAGTCATTAAGTCCATCTCCCACTCCTGCCCCTCCATCCATCTCTCCTTTCCAGAAGTAACCACTATTTTGAAGGTGGTGTATGCTATTTGTACTTACAATTTTCTACGTGTAAGTTCTTAAAAACTATGTAATATTTTCAAAATATTTAAGAAAGTAGTACCATTCAAATATGTATCTTTTGTAGGACTTGCTCCTTATACTCACTGTTTTAGAAATTTATTTCTGTAGGTGTGGTGGTGCACACCTGTAATCCTAGCACTCAGGAGGCTGAGGCAGGAGGATCACTGTGAGTTGGAAGCCATCCTGGGTTACACAGTGAGAACTTGTTTCAAAAAACAAAACAAAACAAAGAAAGAAAAAAAATTTATCCAAGCTGATAGTTATAGATTTAGCTCTTTCATCTTAACTGTGCCAAGTGCCTTATTAACCATATTCCCTGGGGATGGAGTGTTCTTTAATAACCATTATTAATGCTACTATATAATGCAATGTTATATCAAATATAATAATCTTATACACCAACTCTAATATGGTTGCTATTATAAACAGTATTGCAACGAACATCTTTGAAGATGCCTCCCGGCAGAAGAAAATGTTTTTGTTACAGGGTGATGCCTAGAAGCACCCACAGGGAACCCTCAGGTGATCTTACTCAGAATGGCCACGTGGCATTCCCAGGTGGCTGCAGCTATTATACTCGGTGAGCCGTGGCTATGGACTTGTTGCTCTGTATCTCTGCCTTTACACTCTGGCTATTCTGGTAAGTACATTCAATTAGTTCGCATTTCCTCATCAGTCAGACGGAGCAGGGCTCGCCACTTCTTGGTCGCACCTCCCATGGGTTGCCTATTTACATTCTTTGCCCACTTCACTTCTGGGTCATTTGCCTTTTTCTTACTGATTCCTGAGTTTTCTTGGTGTGTTGTGTTTATATAACTCCCCCTTGTGATGTGCACAGCTAGTGGGTTATTCCACAAGCCTGTGGTGTCTCTTCACTTTCCTTACCATGTTTCTGTTATGCAAATTTATTTATAATGGCTGCCTAATTGCCCATTACACAGATTAAACAATTTACTTAACCTGTTTCCTATTATCAGCTACATAAGTGGTTTCTAATTTTTCATTATTTTGTATCGCATTGCTATAAAAATCTTATGTATGAACCTTTGTTGCTCTAATTCTTTTCTCAAATTAGATTCTTACAATGGGACTTCTTGGCCAAAGGGGATAGGGTCCTGAGTACTGTTCTGAGTACTGCCAGAATACTTTTGCGAAAAGCTACCTGAATCAACTTCAGTAGTCTTGCTCCAGCATTGCCAGTATTATTATAGTAGATAAAGATCTTTTCTAACTGAAGGCAAAATATTTTGCTGTTTTACTTTGTATGTTAACACTGAAACTGAAAGATAATTCTCTTACTCAGTGTTTGTATTTCCTCTTTTGTGTACTGTGTTTCAAATTCTTTTTCCAGGTTATCATGAGTTAAGTGCTCAGACCCGAGAGCTAGGTGACAGGCTCAAATTCCAGCAGTAACACTTGCTAGCTGTGTCCCAGCCAACACTAGGAGTGCTCTGTGTCTGTTTCTTCATCTGTTAGTTAAATGAGGACAATATCTGTCTCATAGTACTGTTGCCCAGGATGGGTTAAATGAGTGAACACGTGTACAGTACATAGAGGAGTACCTGACACAAATTACTGCATGAATAGTTACTGTTGTTGCCTACTAAGAGCTCTGTTGTTTTAAAGATTTTTTTAAAGGCTATTCATTCTGTCATACTTGGCAATATATTTTTTCCTCAGTTTGACTTGAAGCTTTCTTTTAGATCTTCTACTATCTATCTTTTATGATTTCATGGAGTAAAATTGATTGAACTTTTCCGTTCAGTTTCTTCTATTGCTTTTTTTTTTTTTTCATTTTTTTTCAAAGTTTTATTGATAAACAGATAGCAATGAGACAGTTTCAAATCAAATCGGAAGTACAGTTTCAACAAATAATACACTGCATATATTCTTCTTAGTGGTTAATTATTGTACAAACAATTACTTCTTACTAATCTGAAATTCAAATTAACTGGCCAGCCTGTGTTTTCTTTTACTTATTTAGTGGTACAAAGGCTGAACATAGGGGTTCTGTTCCACTAAGCTATAGCCCATCCCTTACTTATTTTTATTTTTTGGTATCCTATTGCTTTTAGGAGTTAAAATTTCCTCTTTATCCTGATCAGAAAATATTCTTTTTGATTTTCCAATGATTCAAATTTTTAAATCTTTATAGTTAACAAATTACCTTTCAAACATTTGTTTTGCAGACCACACTTTGAGGAGAGGGAGATTGGGTCCAGAGATTACCCTGCCCATTCCCTTCCTTCGACAAAAGCTCAGGTTTGAGGAAACACATTGTCTATATATTTGGCGGGAGAATGAGGAAATGCACACAGAGAGAAGGATCCCCAGGCCCCAGCTCCTGCAGCCAGGCAGGCACACAGGCCAGGGTAGGGAGAGCAAAGAAGGTACCTCCAGGCCCAGTTTGGCACCTGGCATGGGCTTTGTGCCTAGCCCTGGTGAGTGGCACAGCTGAATGACAGCAGGGACGGAGGTGGGAGGAAGGCAGAGCTGACCTCCCAGCAGGACACCGCAAAACAGGCAGCCCTGGGGTCCCTCTCCTCCTGCCAGAGGGAACTGCTCTCAGGAAGCCAGGCTCAGAGTCCGGGTATCCGGAGGCCCAGGCTTAGGACCTTCATCCCACTGGGTGGAGAAGCCTGGCAGAGGCCCAGACATCTCTCCTAATACTGCCAAAGCAAGCTCACTCAGGGTTATGTGCTGTATGTGCATTAATTCCAACAACTCTGAGAGGCAACCACATTTGATAGATGATCTACAATTTAAAGGTGGTTCTAAAACCTGGGCAGTGTGGTTCCAGAATGACCTACATGCTGCATGTTAGACACCAGGCTTTGCCATACTTATTCTAGAACCAGTAGGAAATATTTTAGGTTTAAAGGCCACACTAGGTCTCTGTCACATACTCTTTTTTACAGCCCTTGAAAAGTGATTGTTAACTTGCAGCCTTATTTAGAAACAGGCCACAGGTAAGAGTTGGTCATGGTTTGCTGGCCCCTGGCATCTGCACATGGGATGTCCTGGGTGCCCTCACCACAGAGCAGTGAAATAAAGGCACTGAGGTTCAGATTAACTCACCCTTTCCAAGAGGATTAATGCTGAAGGCCAGTACCTGACCCCTGTGGCAGCTCATGTCCACGTAGGAAGCAGACCACTGGGAAGGGAGAAAAAGGCAAGGGAGCCACACCAACGGCAAAAGGCACAGGGGGGCGGGAGGGGCCCAGCCTGAGTGATAGGAAGCATGGAGTCCCAAACACACTGACAATGACCAGACAGCTAGAATCAGAAAGCAAAGGATTGGTGGTCCCCTGGGAAGGAAGACATGCAGCAGGGCATGCAAGCTGTGCTCCCCTCCAACATTTAGAAAGGGTGTCATCCAGACAAGCAGAACTGAGGGCCATGAGCCGG